AAGGTGAATAATATGTATACGTATATATATATATATATATGTCATCAAACGAAGATTTCAGATTATTCTCAACTAATACGAAAGATATATGGTCATGAAAAGATTATATTCTTCTTTATCTATTCTTCGGTTTGTTATCAGCCATTTCTATTATTGTATTTCGAAACATAGATATCTATATATAAATAATGAAGAAGGATAACGATGTTCTTTTCTTCTAATAGTTATATATAAATATTACTTATCGATAGCAGAAGAGAACGGTTCCTTTGAATGCAGTCTGACATTCGTTTTTCGACGAAAATGGAGCGAACTATACGAAACTAATTGCATTTCTCATCTCTATCTATTAGCGAAGAGTCAAATCGAATAACTAACCTGTGTATATCAATGAGCAATGAAATCAGTCACGCTATATATGCACATAATTTGCAATGCACTTTAAAATGATGTGTAATCGATATGTTCGACGTAATGTACTTCTAGTTTCGACTATTCTGGAGATATCCCATACACTTTAAAGAGAAGCTATGTAGCAAACTTCCAGGTAATTGTCGATTGACTCGAAGAATGTTTATCATACGAAATAGCAAATCAATGCATAAAAGCATATACCTTGAGCAGCTCATTAAGAATGTACGCAGATAGTCATATAAAAACAAATAAAATTTCAATTTATTCCTTCGTATATGCGCGTTAGTATTCTCATCAAAGTACACATCATTAAGAAAAAAAGACACAAAAGCAAAGCTTAATGTTTTATCAATTATGCATCGAGTTACACTTAGGTATTTATTAGTATCAACACAAGAATGGTGTAATCTTGGATACTATGTGCGATCTTTAAAGATAGAATCTTACAAGTACTTTTGCTTTCATGCGACGCATTATCTTCGTCCTAGGAGATCTCTTCCAACATTTCCTATTCATTAAATAATTCGCATAAATTAGCTAAGGTTTCCTATTACAAAGACGAATACATTCTTATAAGAAAAAAAGTGAAGAGCGGTGTAAAACTCACACAGTACGGAATAATCAACATGCTTTAAGTAAGCACGAGTCTAAATAAAGAAATAAACTTAGAAGTATAATGGATGACTAAAATAACTTCACCTGAATGATGTTTATAACGTTATACAGAAGAGATCAAAGTCCATACGATGATGAAATGTTCGCCAAGAAAAACAGCATATTGACATAACAATGTAAATCGACGGTTCACATCAGAAATATATTTTCTTACATGCAAATTAGCATACCCCCCGCAATAGATAAATTCGTACTAGTAAGTCTTCAATCGAAATCACAAATATAGATCAGAATTTGTTTGCTCAGAAATTCTGTTGTCATAGAACATAGACTAATAACAAATAATTCGGTAAAACCAGTGTCAATGTCGATTTGGAGAAAGAACTAATGTCATTTGCTCACAATGGAAGACTGTCCTACTCAGTTTACCAGTTTGTTTTCGAGTGATGTTTACTCCTCACTGGCGCTTGTGAAAGAACGAGAAACTTGTAAAAGTGATAGGTCTGTTCGGAGCTGTTCGATTGACTTATCGATAGGAGAACGAAAAAAATGCAGCTCTATTTCAACGAAAGATTGAATTGTAAAATAATAACTGTTCGCACTCTACGTTCCGAAAGATCATCGAAGTCTCGCAAGGAGAAGACCTAGCGGCATAGCGAGAGGACAATACCATTCGCTTTTCCACATCATAGGGAACGCCGACTGCCTCCATATATTCGAAGGAGTGGAGCTGTATGTGGACGGTTAAGTAGATTCGAACACTGGTACTTGGTTTATGAACTTCATTATACCATTCGATCAAGTTATTGTGAAGGAAAAGAAACGATTATCTTACTTTTACTTGTTTTCGTATGTGGAGTAGCGATAGCACGATTCAAGTTCCCTTTTTTCCAAGTGCTTTGGATCGAAAGACGAACGAAAAAAGTTTTCGGATTAGCTGTCGATAGATATGATAAAAAGAACAACAAAAAAGTTACTTCCATTCTCTAACTGACAACTTTCTTCTTCCTTTCTGTTGTATAGTTTGATGTACTTAAAGTAATGTATCGATCGCCCTCTAAGTGCAAATTTAGGTCGATCAATTGCGCATATATATAGATTGTGTACATAACCTAGTTTTCTTTTTGAGGACAAAGATGAAAATTCCTTATCACCCATCAATCCTTTGGGAACACGATTGCCGGCCGACTCAGCTGATAAACTTACGTGTAATAAAAATAGTCATGTTTTCATTTCTACGAAACAAAAAGTACCATCTTCTTGTTTCCGGACGTCTGTTTCTATTGTTTTTTTTTTGTTGTAAATGATGGCATTATTCGGGCTGCTTGAAATGTTATATAGAAAATGTTGATTTCTCTTTTTTTTAATCTGATGTCGATCGATCGACGTATGAATTTTTTTAAAAATAAGAGAGAAAACGAAACAATCATGAATTTTTTTTGTAAATAATTTATTGCGGATGTCCATACTGTTGAGTACCGTACGGCGCTTGTGAATGTTGATAATGATGGTACCAGTTGTTCGGATGTTGTGGTAGCGGTGGTTGTAACGGATAATGATATGATGAAGAAGCAGATGACGGTGGCGCACTCATAAACGGTGCTGTGGATGTCATATACAATGTGTTTGTTGTTGTTGTTACTGGCAAAGGATAACGCGCAACTCCAGATGGAGTTGGCAGTAGATGAGAGTATGGACCGGTAAATGTATTACGATAATGTTGAGGAAAGTTAGGTGAAGAAAAAGGTCCTGTTCCAAGATTTGGAGTACTATTATTATTAGTATTATTATTTGGTGTAAAATGAATTGTTCCCGTATTCGATGACACATTGTTGACTGCGTATAGATCTGAAGCGTAGCTACCAGGTGTCGAATGACATTGTAATGGTAACTGAGAAAATCCGCTCATTTTAGTTGTTGATCGTATTGTCGACGAGGACATCGTTTTAGTATTGTCATCTGTTGTAGAAAGAACCGAAGGTTCAGTAGTTGGTGTATCGTTATCGTCATCATCTTTTGCTGAACTTTCTTCTTCACCCATAATTCTAAAAGAAACAATAAGATGATCGAAAGTATTATCCTTCGAGGGAAATTTACCTGAGTCTAGCTAATCTGTATTCGAGTTCACGTTGTTCATAAGTTTTAATAACAGGTTTGGTTGATTGTGTAGTTGATGAAGTCGAAGAAAACACAGGTGAGGTTATAGATTCCGCTGAATTCGCTGAATCCTTTGTTTGATTTCGTGGAATGATCGATATAACAGGCACTGTTGTAGACGAAGAACTATTGTAAAAAGAAGATGAATTACTGTTATTGGTATTATTTTCATTATTCGATAATGTTGTTGTTGCTGAGTTGGTGTTCGAAGAAATAGCAGTTTTCGATGCTATCGAACTATTGGACGCATCATTGTTAGTCGAGGATAATTGAGATTGACTGGTTGGTCGTTTGAGAATTCGAATCGGTTTATTCGAGTTCATCAAGTTGAAATTTATGTTGTTTTGACTGTCATCATCGGTGGCAGCGGGTTGCGCAGGAGACGGTACAAACTCCTAAAAGATAACAACGTGAAGTGAATTTCTGTTCGGAATGATGGCAAACGGTATGCGTTGAGAAAAAAATAAAGTCTTACTTGACTTAGTTGAGTTAATCACGAAGGCTTACTCTTTATTTAGCAATACTCTCTTCACGAACTTGACTATTTTTGTACCAACAGTGACATCAGTACAAATGTTATGTCATATTCTATTGAGTACTGAAAACTTGAGAATTGAGAGGCGAAGGAAATCGAAAAATCTTACTTGATTAGATGCACGAGTTTTTTCGTGTTGTTCAAGTCGTTTATCGAATTCACCTGTATCGACGGCCACTTCCCAATCATCATTATCATTTCCCATCGTCGCTGTTGTTGTTACTCTATCGACCATAATTTATTCAATATCAAATCAATGTGTTGTACGAAACACAAGAAAAAAGGAACAGCTCAGTTTCAATGTAATGAAAAGTCGAAGTCTGATTTCTTTCTCTTTTATCTATTGAATGGAGAGGAACAGAACCGAAACCAAAACCGTCGATGATAACAGTCGAATTCAGAGAAAGATGATGATAAAATCTATAATCAAATAAAGAAAAAAACCACATAAGTCGTAAGAGAAAAGGAAAGAATGAACATTTTGAATAAAAGATGGATATTTTTTGTTGTTATTGTTGTTGTTTTGCAAACAAAAGCCGCGAAGAGAGTGAAAAAAGTGAGTGACGCACATACAAATATACGCAACGAAGGCAAAAATGATCACACAGATAACGCGGATCAGAAAGAAAACGAATAACAGATCTTTTCTTACATATTGAACATCTTTTTTTTTTGATTTTCTTTCATGTTTGAGATCAATCAGTCGACTGATCGATATTTGCGAGTATGCACACGTTCATACGCATACACAGATTTTTAGAAAAAAAGAAAGAATAGAACAAACAAAGCGATTATTTAATTGTTCGATGATAAAAGAAAAAGAAAGTGACAGAATATGAGTATAATGTATGTATATATGTATATATAGGGAAAAGAAGACGAACGCGAACTAGGGAAGAACGAAAATCTTGTTGTCGGCTTCGCCTAATCGACCATAAGACGTAAAAATGATGAGACAGAGAGAGAAAAAGAAAGAAAGAAAACGAACAACGCGAAATATGCTCACGACATCAATGTGCGTAGAAAAATACAAGCGGAAAGAGATACATGTGATCAAGCACACTGAACAAAAACGAACTCTATGTAGTAGAGAGCGAAGAGAGACAGTTCAGTTCACTCTTGATGTTGTTTTCGTTTAAATTAGAAATTGAACTCTGTACAAAAGAAAATGAAAAAAAAAGAAAGTAGTTTAACTAGATAAGTAGATTGAGAGAGTGCAAAAGAACAAAGAAAACATTTCCGCACATGTATATATGTGTTCTATAATCATCGCGTTGATTTATTGGTTGTTGGGATTGCTTTCAGATGCCGAAGTAAGGAATTCATTAGGTCGCTTGTGTCTTTCTAATGCATTTAATGTCGAATAGTCATGCGGCAATTCGCTCTTGCGTCTTATCATGGGTTTGCCTTTTTGCAGCGCGCGACTTGCCTGAAAAAAAGAACAAGAGTATCGTTAATATGATCAGTGTTCACTAATTACGCTAGAAGAACAGAGAACGTCATCACACGAAAGCTTTCTCAAGCGATGAACAGTTCTTCATGACTTACTTCTTTTGCTTCTTGTTCGATCTCCTTCGCTGTTATATTTGCTGCACCAGCATCGTCGTCATCATTATCAACAGGTCGGTACAATTCTGGTTGATTCATTGCACACAATTTAAACTAGAAGAAAATCAGGATGAATGTGTGAACCAAATGTGATGTCTTACGTTGGGATTTTGTCGAGCTTTGTTTTCAATTTTCAACCATGCGGAATCTCGTTCACGTAATTTTTCTTTTTCTTTCTGCTTTTCGAGTTTGTATTTCTGCGAGCATTCATCGAATAATTTATGATTCATTTCCATAAATAATTTCAATGCATTATAAATCAAACCATGTATTGTCCTATTCATTTCAAATCGTAACATACAATTAGTTATTCAAATTAACAGATATTTACTTATTCCAATGAGTTTTCGTGTTCTTGTACAAAGCTGGAAACATTATCGGTAGGATAACCGTAGCATTTTCCGTTAATAAACTCATTATGTATTCGTTATTCCAATAGTAGAGAGCACGTTCCGCGACCTACGAGAAAGTTGCAAAATGAGAACGAACCGAAAAAGGATAGGTCAACGAACTTGAAAATGTGGACTGGATACACATTTTGCTAATTGTTTGAATAAAGGTACCATGACCTTTTGAAATTCAACTGGTTCGATAACATCGAGAATTTCTTCCAATTCGTTGAGAAACATAACCTCCTTTGGACTATGAGTTTTCGGCCAATATTTTAGCAAACCCATGATCACCTGAAAAGTTCAATAGAACGCGTTTGATTTTTCGACTTTTCGAAAGAATCTTACCGGTTGAGTTAGGCTCGGATCTTTTTCAAGAAATTGCACGATACAATAAGCTAATTGTGGGTGGTAAACACTGAGCGTTTTCACTTTATGTAATGGTAGTAAAAGTTTGATTAGGAATACTTTATGTTCTTCTTTTAATGGTAATGCAAAACCATTGATAATACTAAACGCATCGAACGGAACATTTATTCATCGTTTTTTACTCAAGAAACACCTTCCTACCTTCCTAAAATTTCTAATAATTCAGCTATACCATTATGTCGTTCTGTTTCGTAGATAAACTAAAAAGAAAAATCGGTCAGAATGAATTCTAAATGTCATCAATGAAACGGATATGACTTATCCGAGAAAGCCGAAATGAATCGATAATGCTTCATCAATATTTACTTTGTAGAATGTATTATTGATTTGTTTTCGTATATAAGCTCGTAGTCCGAGGAATTTTCCATATATACGATGAAGAATCGTCTTGAGGAAGTCTCGCTCGCGTGGATCTTCGCTATCAAACAAATCCAATAACTAAATCGAACAAAACATAGGTCAATGTTTCATATGTGTACGTGTATGTTCATACGTTGAGGACAAATTTTTGATCAATGTATCGTTTTGCTGTGTTGGGCTGAAAATCTGGCGATTCGAGAAAACGTAAGAAGAAATCATAAACAAGTTGTAAATGTGGCCAAGCAACTTCAAGGCTCGGTTCATCTTCTTCCGGATCGAAATCAGCACCTGATGGATTACTTGCTGGTGGTAATGTTCGAAAAAGATTGATGGAAAACTAAAAGAAAATTCAACAAAATACACGCTCGAGATATATTCTTTTGTGTTTACCATTCGAACAGCTTCGCAATAGATTGGATCAGTGATGACACCTCGATTGGTTGTTATATAATCAATCATTTCATTCAATGCTGCACGTTTGATTTCTTTCCATTTCAAATCTGATAATGGATCAAGTTGAAAATCGAAAACTATACAACATTGTTGCAGCTTTTGAACAAACAGCGATTCTCGTTCGCTAGCTGAAACATCTTTCAGAGTTGGTAATTTGACCAATTCACGATTTTTCGATATGTTAAATCGCGAGGAATTTCTCCGGTTATCTTTGCGAATGTTTGGCACGCCAGTCATCGGTTGAACTTTAGTCAACGGCGTTTGTGGTGGGTGTGGTGCAGCTAGACTCGAACCACTGGCGCTCAGATTGTTTCCACTCGTCATTGTTTCCGTTTGCGGTTGAGGAGATTGCAAGAGTGAATTTGGGGAACGTCCCGCCGCTTTGTTTCCAGTATTATTCGCTGCCGAAGATGTGTTCACAGATAATGATTTATTATTAGTCAAATCTTTTGCTTTATTCTAAAAGAGAAAAGTGTCGGATGAAAAAACAATCGATTTTGACAGACAAAGGTGTATTACATCATCAACACCCATAGCTTTTCCGTCTGCCTCATCTTTCGATTTGGATTTCGTGACAACGGTCGTCTAAATAATCGCACAGAACGGATATGATCGATTCGAGCGAAGAAAGTCTTACCTTTTTAGTCTTACTAGCTTCTTTTTCTTTGTCCTTATCCTTCGATGAAGAGGACGCTGAAGACGACGGCATTTGTCGTAGATGAGTGATGGCGTCTGAGAATCGCTTCAGCTCGACAGGTCCAAGATGAACAAAAACGAATAGGGATGGAAGCGAATGAAAGAAAACTCGATTTCGTTGACGTGTATTTTGATTATTTGACTTGTTTTACGTATAATAACAACGTAATTCGATCATCACTGATCGAAGGAATTCATATTAAACAATTAATTCATATAGAGACGCTCTGATCAGAAAACAAATGAAGAAAAAAGACAAATAAATAACAATAGAATTAGTTCTATTGCGTCTGAGCTGATGAAAATAATGTTTCTCGAATGACAAATAAACAACAATAAGACGGCGAACGAATGAAAAGAATGGACTAAAAGAAACTACACGGTTCCTATCGGACCAATTATTGAAGTGATCTCCCGCTGTCGTTTTTCTTTGCTCACGTAAGAAGTGTATGAATATACCAAGTAAAGAAAGACATGATTTCTATCTCATATTGCATACCTTGGATGTAACGAAATAGGAGGTACAAAAAATAAATAATATGTCGATTTCTTTTCCTCAAATCACTTTCTCTCCTGATCGATCGAAAAGATAAACGCAAAAAGGCAAAATCTTTGTTTTTCACTCAACTGTTTTTCTTTTCATTAGTTTCTGACGCAGAAAAAAAACAAGCAAAAACCAAAGACGAAAATAGATGTCGCTCATTTCCATTCCCTCCATATTTTATTCCGATCCACCCATCGAAAGAACATGCAAACAATAATAAATCTCTAATATTTTATTGCATGTCAGTTTCATATCAATCTTGACATTATGTAAATTAATCGATTTATTCTCCATTCTCATACTCGAATGGAAAATGACAGACTGATGACAATTGGATTTTCATCAAGAATCCCAATTGAAGTGACTTTATCTCGCAACAGAATCTTTCTTTCTTCGCCTTTTTTTAGAAATCTATCCGCCGACCAGACTCATTTGAGCAGAAATGAAAAGATCTCTACTTGAAGTACGGACGAAGCAAACAAATGTCGATCTAATCAAGGAGCGGAAATGAGAGAAGCAAGACAAAAAGGCGACTAGTCTATTTATAATTATACCTATAGATTTGACGAGCGCGCACAAGATCAATTGAATGTTTTTCTTTCGTTTCAAATAGATTATCGAGGAAAAAAACAGCTATTACGTTGGTAAACAAGCTACATCGAGTGTTTTATGGCAATTGAAACAACATAGGAGAAAAATAAAAAGGCACGTTGGAATATTGATACACAATTCGCATGAATTTTGAATACTTAATTGATTCTGTTTTGAAGTATCTTGCTTTAACAGCGAATGCTAGAATTCAGTACTATCAGTGATGAATTTTTTTCATCTCAGGAATGACTTGCCGTCGTGAAAACCATTCACATCTGGTTTTCATCTCATTCTCTACTTCGAAGATCGAAAGAAAACTTTCACAATAAACTATCAGTTTTTAAGAACAAAATTTCAAATAAATGTCGTCGTTATGTGCAAACTCGAACTTGTTTTTCTCAGATCATTTACTTGCTTATCTTGCACGATCGTATTATTCAATTTCCGCAGGAATAATTATGTGCAAATAGAAAGTCCAAATGATGTCTTCGTTTCTCTCATGATTCAAATCTCTTTTTCCCTGGAAAGTTCTCCAAATGACTGAATATTATTCATTTTGTTCGCTATGACTTCTCAAACGATGTTCACATTACGTCGAAATCATGTTTTGTGTTAATTGACATTGGAGATGTTTTCAATGCTCGATTAAAAAAAACACGTTCTGATTGTCATGCAGAAAACGGCGATTCAGATTGGCATCCGGTCTTTTACAAAAGGAAATCATAGTTGAAGGTAATGACAATGTGAGAATTTTCAGATTGCTTCATTCACGCCGTGGTCTAACCAAGAACATGTTTCTACGTTTGAAAATATTCAGGTTTTTTTCTTGTCTAGATTTCATCCGATATGGATTCCAATGCTGATGAAAGAGGCCATCGATATCCTCAACGACGTGTTGATACAATTCATGGCAATACGACGAATGACAAAGTAGATAAGTAGGTCGTTGAGAAATGCTGGAAGATCTTTTTCTAAATGAATTGTGTTTTCTAGCAACTATATTGTCAATCGTCGACATAGTTTAGCTCATATTAACTTCCGGAAAGCGATTGATCGAAGTCTCTCATTGCCAGACATAACTGACGAACCTAATCATCTCCAACGACGTTATTTGGAATATTTCATTAAATTTTTATTTCTTTGTATTATGATTGTTTCGATCTGCATATTAATTCGATTACTTCGCTCGTTCTCGAAGACATAAATCATGAGTAAACAGCTCGTATACATTATCTTCTTGTTAATCGTTGAAAACGAGTTGTTTTGATTCGTCTGGAGGAGAACAAGAGATACTCATCGATGACTTTGCTTCTTATTCACTGATGCATATCTGGTTTTTGTGTTGAAAATGTCATCTTTGATCAATATTTGATAAATAAAGATTGACCAAAATGTCATATTAGAGATTTAATCATCATAACAAGATTTCTACGATTGTGACAGTTGAGTGTTGATAGACGAATTCATCTATTTGAGATTGAAACGCGTTTTCCTAATCCAATCGTGTAGGTTTATCACTTATCAAGATAAACATGCTGACATTAGAGTTGATAGATTGAAGATACTCTCGTCGACACTACCCCCAAATAACAGATACTTATGTCAATTAGACAATGATGATGCTGACTTGTTAGATTATGTAATTGAATCTTTGTTCGATATTCTCTACCGTGATTGGCGACGAGAGATCACATCTGTTGACAGCACACAAAATGATTCTCTGCGTTGTTTTGTTTAACTGATACCGACACTCGAGCAATCGAGTTATAGAAACAACGACCTCAATGATAAGCTTCGCTAATGTTTATATCAGTCATTTGTATTCGAAATTGCCTAACATTAACATCAAGCAAATGAGAGATCAAAAGTAAGATAAGATACAAAAGAAACGAGACCAATCTGATTATTTCAATTCTCTCGAAGACACTTTTGTTTATCCGCGTATTGTTTCTATCTTTTTTTTTCTTCTCTTCGTGTATTTGCTTTTCTCGTCTTCATCGCCGTCTATTTCTCTTTTCCTCGTAAAAAAAAAAACTAATCGAGTCCATTACTATTGGACATCAGCAAATGTACTACAGCTGTTTATGTCTTGGAAGATATTTATATACTTTCTTCTAATTCGAATCTTATTCTTATCATCGATATTCGATTCGACAATTGCAGTTCAATTACTGAACGCATCATCGGGTATCTATGTGGGTCGAACCGTTTATTACGGCAACAGAACTATTCAACAGTATCTGGGAATCGAATACGGACGTACTATTAAACGATTCGATCGAGCTATACCAATTTTAAAAGAAAATGATCGAATTATTCAAGCAACTTCATTAGGACCTTTCTGTAAGCCAACATTCGGTTCATGTCCGGGCAATATTGGAGTGAATGCTTCGTTGCCCACCTGTTCTATTAGTTATGGTATCTTTTCTGTTAAATCGTATCCAGCTGAACAATGTTTGTTTTTAAATGTCTTCATTCCGGTGACGACCGATCCTCCTTCTACTATCACCAGTGGTAATTATCCAAAGAAGAAGGCCATACTTATGTGGATTCATGGTGGTTCAGGTCAAATCGGCACAGGAAATGTATTTGACGGAACGATTCTTGCCGCCCTAGGCGATATTATTGTTATAACATTTAATTTTCGCTTAAATCTCTTTGGTTTTCTATCATCAGGCGACAGTCGTCTTGAAGGAAATCTAGGTCTTTATGATCAAGCTCTAGTTCTTGATTGGATTTATCAAAATGCACATGCATTCGGCGGGGATATTCATCGTATTACAGTTGGCGGACATTCAGCTGGTGCTCCGCATGCTTACTATCTAGCTAAATCGCCATTCAATCGAGGACGTATACGTCGATTACTGTTGCAAAGCGGTAGCCCATTTAATATATGGTCACATTTGAAAGCGCCTGATGCGATGGAGAAATTCAATACGGTGGTAAATGACAACGCGTGTGGGATCTGGCGAACGTTTGATGAGAAGTTGAAATGTTTACAAGAGCGCGATTTTGATTTGATTGCGGAACATGAGCATCATTCGTATACAAGTGCAAATCATACAAATGTTGTAACTGCCGGATATTTTATGAGTGAATTTCGAGAAGAATTTCAAATGAATGATACACTAGCAGATGTAGATATACTAATGGGATCGACAGACGATGAAGGTAAGCGAATTTCGTGTCGATATTCGTTTTTGATTTGTATAATTTCGCAGGTGTGTATGTGGCCATTGTACCAATTATTATGGAACAATCGAATCCTGAGATAATTACACTTCACAATGTGAATTTTACTGAAGTAACGCTCAAATTTCTGGATGCTATGCAACCGGACAAGACCTGTCTACACCAAAAAGCTTTGGAATTGTAAGTTACACTTTCTGCGAATTTGTTTTTCATCTTCACTTTTTTTTTATTATCTTAGATATCACATTGACAAAATTCCTTCGAATTGTTCTCAATCAGTCGATTGTTACTGTTCGGCATTCTACAATTATTCACGTCTCATAACCGACGTTCTCTTCAGCAACGACTACTATCGTTTCATCGAACAACGTTTGAAATACTCCAATCGCACGTATCTCTATCAATACTCTCATCGAACTGCGCAAGAACATCCAACGCCTTGCAATGATTATTTACACAAACAAGACCTAGTTGGACACTTCGCTGAACTTGAATACACATGGGGTACACCGCTGTTATACGAAGAGCCAAATTCAACATTACATCTATCGCCATTGATTGAATATGTTCGATATGGACCTAACATGACTACCGATTACAATTTTACTCATATGTATACAAAAGAGCATATCGAATTTAGTAAACAGTTGATTGAACAATGGTCAAATTTCATCAAAACAGGCCAACCGACAAGCCCAAAATCTCGTCTCCAATGGCCACCGATAACGAACAATTCGATAGGACTTTTTATGCATTTACAAGTCAATCAAAGTGAAGTCAAGCAACTTGTTATTCCTCCAAGTGTCGAATTTTGGAAGAATAAATGTCCAGACGAAAAGACACCTTCGCCTCGAACGAATTCAATGAATAACGATGCATTTACTACTGACATCACCTGGGAGATCGTTTTTGGTTGTTTCATATTTTCGATGGTGCTTTATTCAATTAATTCATTTCAATAAATTAATAGACAAACTGAAAAAAAACAAATCTTTGTGTTATTTTTTTTGTGTAATGCTAACTATTTTTTCAATAATTCATATTCATATATTTCTTTGATACGAATGTGCAATTCATTGTAGAAATACAGTATCATTTTCTGGTTTTCTTTCATGTTTTATCTGTTGAACAGAATTTTAACAATATCAACATTTTCTCCCTTCTTTGCCGCTTGGTATAATAAAATATTAGTTTTTCGCTTCATCAATCAGTGAAGTTTGTTCGTCTAAGGATACAGCAAGTAATTGAGATCGAGGATAAAATATATACATATGTAAGCGTTTACGATTGGCGAGTAATACGTTACATCCGATGAATTGCCTCATGTTTATGATCGATGCTCGTCGAATATGAAGTAAAGAACACTCGTAAAGATACGAATGTAATCTTTTGAGATAACATTAAAATCTTTTTCGTACGCATTGAGGCAACTACGTTCTCTTCCTTTTGTAAATGTTACAAATCAAAGCATTGATTTTGATTGCTGTTTCGATTCTTCTGACATCTATTACATTAACGATCGTTATGAGCCAATCATGATTCATTAGAAATTGCACGCGTTGACTGTCTGCTCTGTTTTGCTCGCTGTACCTACACAAAGTACTCTTGAAGATGATTGTGGTTTCATACAGTCATTTTAATGAAGTTTTGCACTGAAGAACTTTTATTGGTTTTCCGTTTTTCTAGATATGCCTCGTAGCTTTAGTCCCCGATTTATTCGACACGGCCTTCTGCTGTGTACATCGGCAATAGGTACTGGCTTCCTTGGACAATATATTGTCGACGTAAGTAGAAATCGTTTTCTCGTGATGTGATCAGAACTTTTGTGTACATAGAAAAACAAAGTGAAAGCAGCAGAACCCGCATTACATCGGCCAGATGTATGGTTAGATGATTTTCCATCACGAGAGGCACAAATAGACAAAATGTCGAAAGAGCCAGAGTACGATATCGTCGTTGTTGGTGGTGGTGCAACAGGTTGTGGAATCGCAGTCGATGCAGCAAGTCGCGGTAAGTTTAATCTAATGATTTTCTAGTTGAATATCTTCAGGTATTGATCGTTGAACAGGTCTCAAAGTGGCTCTCGTGGAAAAGTATGATTTTAGTAGTGGTACGTCATCAAGATCGACGAAATTAATTCACGGTGGTGTTCGATATTTACAAAAAGCTATCATGCAACTCGATCGCGAACAAGTAATCGATTCCGTTCTTTTTTGTATGGTTTTCGAAGTTTTCATGTCTTTAAATTCTAGTATCACATGGTGAAAGAAGCTCTGTCTGAACGTGGTAATCTTCTTAAAATCGCGCCGCATTTATCTTATCCCCTACCAATCATGTTACCTGTTTACAAGTAAGGAAACAAGCAGAGACATAGGCTTAAAAAAGATTTATTTTATCGATCATTTAGATGGTACCTATTACCATACTTCTACGCCGGTATCAAAGCGTATGATATCGTATCAGGACGGCAATTACTTCGATGGTCATATTTGATATCAAAAACCAAAGCATTGGAACTGTTTCCGATGTTAAAAAAAGAAAAACTTGTTGGTGCTATTGTTTATTACGATGGACAACATAATGATGCACGAATGAACATTGCATTGGCGTTTACCGCTGCACGAATGGGGGCGAATGTGGCTAATCACTGTGCTGTAACTGAATTCATTCATGAGACTACTCAGGTCGATCATGGCGATGGAAAAGCAGAAACAAGAAAGCTTATTCGAGGTGTGAAATGCTTAGACCGTTATCGAAGTATGTTAGATAAAAGCGAACAAACAAAAATGAAATACACTTCTTGAAAATTTTAGATAAAGAATTTACAATTCGAGCGAAATGCGTTGTCAATGCTACGGGACCATACACTGACTCCATACGACAAATGGACGATCCAACAGCACCGAAGATTTGTCAACCATCATCCGGTGTTCATGTTGTTTTACCAGATTATTACAGTCCAAATAATATGGGTTTACTCGATCCAAACACATCTGATGGACGCGTTATCTT